TTTCTGAATTATTAAATTACTTTAGGATCAATATTGTCGTCAAAGCTTTTAAAAATTTAAATAGTGTCGTTGTAAATAAAGAAAAAGTGATAAATATTTAAGTTTTCCATATTAAATCATTTAACGTTTTCGTATTTTATTTAAACAATAGAGTTGTAGTACATCGAAATATTCTTTAAATTAAATGATATTTTATGTAACTATTACTTATAAATATGTATGTATTATTTATTTGAAATTTATCTCAGTATAAGATTGAGTTTTAGTGTTTTGATATGTCAGACCCAGAAGTTTATTAAATTAGTTTTGAAGTCAGAAAAACTTTTCTTGTTTATATATTTCTTCACTTCAAACTATTTTGTTTATGTACGGCGATGACGTCCACTTCTACGTTATTTTATAATATTTTTCTTCTTTAATTATTTAAATTTGTGATATGATTATTATATAGAGTTTAGAAAGGATAATTATGGTTAATATAAGACTATGTCTACAAAAAAACAATTATTTATAATACAATATGTTTATAATATAATAATTATGACCACAATAAAAAAATGTATTTTACATCTAAAGAAGTTACTAAGGTTAAAACAAAGAAACCCTTTTTATTATTTCATCATTCATTTTTAAATTTTTTTTTTAGTTTAAAAAAGGTAAGATCTGTCGAACTTGTACAAGTTACATCCTTATCTAAAAAAAGAACTGAGCTGAGTATTTTTTTACATTTATATTATAATAATTATATAGATATATAACTAATACAATTATATATCAAATAATTATTTAACTAAGAAAAGATATTACTCATTAGGAACATCAGAATGGAACAGGGAAATAATAATAATATAAGCAGAACAATTTCAAGTACTTAAATTTATTATTATGAGGTTTTCATGTTAAATGTGGTTATGATGTTAAATTTATTTTCTACAATAAAATTATAATACACCAACCCAATTATAATACTATTACAATTTCTAAAATCTAATCAAACCTAATGGTAACGATGACCTAATTTTGTTAACTTAAAAACGGGATGGAATGCAAATCGAAGAGAATAATATTGTAATTCACAATACATACTGTAAACATGGAGTTAGTTGTTTTGAATTAAATAAGTATGAAATATTCATACACAAACTTCAAAACTATTGTCCCTCGACTTAAAGTATAATAAAACACTGGATGGAAAACTCAAGCAATGTCCAAAAGTTCGGTACTCCGAATCTGATAATAAATTTCTATTTGCTAAGAGAGTTATGAATTTTGAACAGTGTAAATATCTGAAACTATACTATCACAGTTATGCAATTTAAGGATACGTTTGATTTGATGATTGTTGATTTGATGATTATGAATGATTAACGATGATGATTTTCTCATATGTAAAACCTAGTATACAGTTAGGCGTGTGATATAGATTGTTAAATGTTACTGAGTAAATACCTACATATGTTAAAATATGGCATAAATATAAAAAAAAGTTTAACAATTTTTACGATGAGCAAGACACTAAACTTTAAATATTATTATTCAGTTTTTCACAAGGCGTCTTTGGTGATTCTCTTCCTATTTTTTGTATTTATTTAATACACGTGTAAAGATTTAAATAATTGTGGCGTTACATATAATAGTGTTCGTTTATCTAAATTAAGTGTTTACTAGATTTTTGTACAGATTTTTAGTATTAAAATTAAGAAATATTATTTAAATGTAAAATTATTTTTTGCTTTTTAGTTCCTACGGTTTTCTTTTTCCTGTGTTCCATTGTATTTTTTTAAAGTGGTTTTTTACTTTTTTCACAAAGTATACAATATCTTATTTAATTAACAATCTAGCCAATTCACTACTTAGATTAGACCTCAACTACTCCATTAATACATATATATTCTAAGAATGCGTCCGGTAATATGTAATTAGTTTTTTTTAACACGTAGATACTTTATCATGTGTTCTTAGTGCTTGGCACTTATCACTGCATTTATTATTTATATCAGCAAACTGTAGCATAATTTTAAGTTTGCATATAAGTCTTTTATGCCAAACTTTATCAAGGGATTTTCCTACATAGAGGAATTACATATTCCTACATTATATTCCTACATTAATGTTTAAGGGTATTACTATTATATGTTAATGTTAAGTGGGGTAAAAACATTTTTATAACGTTTTTTCTATAATGTTCCTTATTTAATGTACCTGATCAATTGTTGAATGTTTTTCTCTTAAGCCAAATTGATGGTTATGAGTAATGTTACCGTTTTCAATTTGCAGTTTGCGTCTTTTCACAATAGTTTCTCGAAAAATTTTGACTTTCTTGGTAGTAGAGAAATTTGGTTTAAATGAAGCGTGTTCATAGTGTCGTTTGGCAAGTTTTGGTATCATAATTATTTTAGCTAGTTCCCACAGGTCGGGTGCATACTTTTTTAACTTCAAAATAATAATATTTTTTTATAACATTCTTGTCATAAGTGTAAAAATAAGTATTAGTTAAGAGGGATATATGTATTTTATTTAAAAAATTATGACGTCTGCTGTTTCTAGAATAATAAATAATCTATTATTCTAAAGAAATATTTGCCCCTACTCAAGTTTTTATCAGGTGTGATGCATAAATTTTATAACTTAACAAATTTTTACCTTATTTATCATTCTAAATGAAAAAACTATATTTAAAAAAATATGATGATAGAGTTAAAACAACAGCTGATACGTAAAATATATATTTTTTGTCCCATTCCAAAGAATGACGCACTTATTATTGTATTAACGGACGTTCAACTACAAGCAATATATTTTCCTTTAAAATGTAGTGTAAGATGCGAGTATCTGAGACATTTAAATTGAAAATTGTTTGCGTGACTTGAAATTATTTCTTTCAACAGAACGTCCTTGAGGCAGCAAAAGTCTAGTTTTAGATATTAAAATCGTATCTTAAAAGACAACTAACAGCTGTATTCTGTTTGAAATGAAGTTATTTAATACTTAAATGTACCTAATCTTTACTTTTCTAATATAAATAATTACAGACAGTTTAAGTTTTGCAATTCAAAATAAAAATAAATAAAAGTTTCTAGAACATACAACTGCAATTTATAAATAATTATGTTTACTTTTATTTTAAAAATTTAAAATGTACCATAAAAATTGCATATTCCAATTTTTATTCATAATATTTAGTCTATATGTTTGATTATAAACAAACAAACATTAGAAGTTCATTCTATTACAGAAAGGCACTTATACGAAAATCACTAATGAAGTTGTCTTATGATTCACAAATGAACTTTATAAAATGAAAACAAAAAGCTAAACAACGAACATTCTATTCAAAGGAACTATTTTGAAACAACTCATATAGTTTATGAAAGTTAAACCCAGCTTTCACACTTGTGAGTATTTCTTATCAGACTTACTTCACTTTAAAAGCTTAGCAATCTTTTTCTTAATTTATTTTAGATATACTACATAATACATCTCGTCATTATATAAATGACTAAATATACCTTATTAAAGCAGTATGGTAGCAGCAGTATTATATGGTAGTAAGTGCTTATTGGTATACGGGAAGTTTTATTTCGTCAACAATATGTATATGTAATAGACCCTGAAGTATAAAACTATCCCTTTCTCCTCATAATATAGACTATTTATTGAAAAGCAATTTTTACTTTTTGTAACTGTAGTTATTAAGATGAGACAATCATTATTCTCTTTTTTTTTTTTTTTTTTTTTTTTTAACGAGGAGAATCTTTGAAAGACTTCCCGCCGCGGGGGAAAACACGGCGGGGGCGTGTGGGATTTCCACCCACTAAACTCCTCGGCGTTCTCTGCGCTGTGCGTAGGCTAGTGAGCGGGAACGGCAAGCCATACTTCCGCTCACTACGCAAGAGTCCCATGGACTCCGTCTTCGGCAGGGGTCACAGTGGCTTCACCACACTTCCCCTCCGACTCCAGAGCAGCGTGCCGGGAACGCCAAGCACGCCACTCTCACTCCAGCCTATGTTGCCCGGACGCCGGTTCCCCACCAACGCCCGGAGGCTCCTCTCACTGGGGAGGCATTTGGCGAGCGTAGGCCCGCTGCCTTCTACCCAGCCTTCGTCGACGCAGGGGCGCCGAGGAGGGGTCATCTTCCCGCGCTCGTTCAGCGGCCTCTTTCCGCGAGATGACGCACTCGCTGAACCGGACCACCGCCTCCCAGGCATTCTCGCTACCGACCATGGCCTGAACCACTGCCGGCAACGAGAGATCTGCGCCAACCACCGCGGTGAGCTGGCGACGCTCTATCGCCCACGCAGGGCACTCCGCCAAGGTGTGATCGGGCGTGTCATCCATGCAACTGCAATGGTGACACGCCGCGGTCGGCTCTCTTCCGACTATGTGGCACAGATACCTCCCAAAGCAACCATGCCCCGAGAGGATCTGCACCAGCCGGAAGGTCAAGGAACCGTGTCGGCGGTCCACCCACTCTTTGAGGAGCGGGCGAATAGCCTCCACGGTTCGCAACCCGGCCACTGGCTCAGAGAGCTTCCGCCTCCACCGGCGAAATAGCAAGGCGAGCGCGGAGCGCCGCCAACCTTCCACCCGATCCCGGTCCGGACTCGTTCCCCGGGATCGCTCTCGCGCACGCTGGTGGTACACCTCCGCCAGAACCTGGGCATCCAGTTCCCAGGGAGGCGTCCCAGCCAGCACGCAAGCCGCCTCATGTGAGACAGTGCGGTATGCTCGTACCACCCTAATCATCATTCTCTATAGTGATAGCTAATAATCACATTTTCGATTTTAAATTATAAATTAGGGCTTTTATAAATTCTTCATAACATGAAATTTTTTTAATTAATTTATATGGTTATATATAAACTAGACTTTTTTTTATTAAAAATACCCTTTTGCCTAAAATACTGTTTTGATTTGAGTTCTGCATATGAATAAAATCGATATAACTATCGAACATGTGACCAATCGATTTAAAATCTTCTCAGTATTAGTGAAATATCCTAGAAACTGGAATGAGCACCGACGACTAGTCAAAAAAAAACACAAATTATTCACTAAAATTTTTTATATGGTTTCAACATAATTGAGTAATTAAACATTTTTGTGTTACACTTAGACTAGTAACATCTCGTAAAGAAACTAAGGAAACATAATTTCCATTTAAAGATTCTGTCAAGCCAAGTTAAGAAAGGTCGACCTTCATAAGGGTTAACTTGAGGAGCAGCATAGAAAGCTACAGATGGTGACTGAGGTGCTGGTATGGCGGACGCCATCTGTCTAAGTTGTTGCTGCAGCAAAACGCTTCCCGGTGCTACAGCTACAGCTTGCTGATTGCTGGTTCCGTATTGTTCAGAATATTGTTTAGGGTATGCATATTTCTGAGGGTATGCATCAACGACAGTGAAAACCCCTTCCGAGAACCCTGTTGAGAGATAAATCGAATTTAAAAGTCATAAGGGTTGATGGATTAATGGTGTTACTATTTTTTTTATGTCAAAGGTGGCAAACGAGCAGACGGCCTACTTGGTGTAAGGTAGTACCGCCGCCCGTATGTACATCCGCAACATGTTTGTTGCGAATGCTTTGCCAACCTTGTTTTTTCAGGAATAGGAAGGGGTGAGAATAAGGAAATGGTAGGAAAGGGTGGGAAATAGGAAAAGGGCAACCGGCTCTCTTACTCGTCGGACGAAACGCAGCCACTAAAGGCTACTTCACACCGATCTTCTGTGAGAGGGTGGTACTTCCCCGGTCGAGCCAGCCCATGTTCGAGCTGTAGTAACTTACCACAGCTAGGCTCTACCACCTAAAGCTACTAAAAAGAACAACTGTACTGCAGTGGTTATTTAAATAAACAATAATCGTCTGATTTTTAATTATTTTTCATATGGTCAATAAATAAAGAAAAAACAATTCAAGGTAAGAGAACTAAAAAAGCAATAGTATTATCTTCTACTGAATATAAAACAAAGTTCATTTAATCATAGCAACGGTTTTTAGAAAGAAAAATAATTATATAATTAAATTATTATTTACATGATGTTCCTAGAGTGGCGACGAGTAGAACAAACAGGATTTTGCAAAAGAACATGATCACTCGAGTTTCGTAATCCAACTGCACTCCAAGGTTGTCTTCGTCCCCTTTTATTCATTATCAGTAAGCTGCTCATGTGATGCAGTAAAAGATGTTTTGACTCGAGAGAACAATTACACGATAACCCCTTCTGGATTAACATTTTATTTGGAGCTGATAAATCCTATCACGAACCATTACGAGACCCTAATTTATGTGAACGGTAGCAGCTCATTATCATCGAACTAATTGGACCCAACAGATGTATGTAACATATGTATGTTTTGACCCGAATATGACCCCAGTTCTTGGAAAAACCATACCAAAACCAAATTCCCAAAATTTCCGAAAGAAGTAGGTATGTTGATAAAATATCAAACTGGGTTTTTATGAATGTTTTTCGTGGTAAGCGATAAAGGCGTGATAAAATAATTTTAAAAAACACTTTTTTTGGCGTTTTATGATTCTAAATTTCAACAACGAAAAGGCTCCTGGAAACACAAAATATGCCCTTTACCTATTATTTAGATTTCAATTAGTTTTGTTTAGTTTCACATATTCCTGAAATTTAGGTAATATTTTTTATCAAGTAACGGTTTAACTCTAGTGCCAAAAAATAATTTGTGTCGCCTCACTGGCGGTTTTTATTTATTTAACAATAAGAATGGCTTGCAACCTTTCCTTATTTTAATTCAATAAATATCAAACCATCCCGCTTATATTACACACTAGTTTTTTCCCTGTAGCTTTTACGGCTTCAAGGACCTACTTTTCGGGACTTTTATTGTGATTTAAACTCTGGGACCGGTTTTACTCTTTGCGCAATTGTATTATAGTATAATTATTTAAATAAAAGTCATATATTTACCTGATAAAATCTATATGTTAACATAAAAAAATATACTAACTTATCTTTCTGAGTTTTATAATATCTAAACAATATTTTGTACCCGATTTATATTACTGTGTAGTTATGGGAATGTGAATATTATGTGGATATTCAAAGAGAGATTTGCCAATTCGAAAAAAGTTTGTGACACATTGATTCCTATTTCCTATCGATCTCCAATAAATCAATCACTAAAGCAACTAGAGGACTTGTTTTCGATAAAATATATCTGAATCTTTCATGGGTATAGTACTTATCAATACCTGTTATTTCAATCTTCATTTATATCCATTACTGTTTCAAACAAAAATATGGAATAAAAATATAATAGTTCTTCATATGAATACATGTTTCGACTTACTTATTTTCTTATATATAATATAGAAACTTAAATAATACCTTTATAATATTATAGAATTATTTATTTTTATAGAGGTTTACCTCTGAATTGTTTCTTCGACTCTTTTAAAAGCTATTTGAAACCCTACAATATTAAAGAATACCGGAACGATAATTATAGACAGTGACAAATTTTTAAGGATTGTAGCTTTATTATGTGAAATAACTTAACATCTCATAATATTAATACTATTATATATTAATTTATTATATTAATACTATTATATATTAACTATTAAAACATACTCTCCAGACAAACAGCTCACGATAGCAAAGAGGATTACTTGGGGTTGAATAGGAATATTTATTTAGTTTTAAGAGTAAAAATTATATTTCTTCGACTATATCCTTGTTATAAACTTTTCCACTTATTGAAATATCTCAAATATAATTGCAATGGATAAAATTTATTATACTTGTATTCTGTAACAAGATACCTTATAAAGTAAGTATAATAATAGTAGAGGGTGACAACTGTTGACTTCTGAACGTGTGTCTTCGATCTCATAACATAATCGCTCTTATGAAAAGTAATTTACATGAAATTATTAATATTAAATTATTATACAGGATTAAAGTCAAATTCTGTCGATTTTGTTACTGGTCATAGAGAACATTTCGTTCATTTTAGAAATTCTATAATTTAAGACTATATTTCAGAAAAATTTATGTCGTTTATTATTAATTTAAACATAATTTGTCATAATAAATTAATAATCCCTACAATATACTCCAATAAAATACTCAGTTTTTGAAAATTGCTAAATTGCTAGGGTATAACATCAAGTGAAAAAAGAACAATCAGGTACTAACGATTTAATCGTACTGAGATTTATACTTTCAAAAATGTTTAAGAATTTTAGTATCTCACTTTTAACGCCGCTTCAGAAGTAAGATGAACAATAACTGTAACGCTAAAATAATTTTAAATATCAATAGAGCTCGCAATAATAATATTTAATCTTTTTATTCACATAAATCATTGTTACATTAAGTATTTTAAATTCAGGCATGTAATGTCACAAAACAATGAATTCTATTCTCTTTAACCCTTGATACAATGTCACATTCTCGTTATAACCACCACCACGCTCTAACGTGTGACTAATGTAGAGGTTGAAATTAAATAAATGGAAAAGTGAAGAATATTGTATTAGAATAGTAGGTATACTGATATTATTTCTGAGTTGGTTTTAATATACTTTTTGATTCTTTAAAAAGTAGAACGCATGTTTTCAATATTACGATGGCATTTTTTTAATACAATTAAGAAAACTGATACGATTACTTTTTTATTAAAAACAACGAAGTGTAATAATTTTTTTTTGGTTCAATTAATTTCAAGCAACACATACTTGATTAACTCTTCTGAAGTAATAAACAAAGTGAATTGCTTAGAAATCGTCAAGTATCAGAGTTTTAGTTTTCACAAATTGTTTTTTATCACTATTGCAGGTGTTGAGGTAATGAGTCATCCACTATACAGTCCTGATCTAAGGCCCTATGACTTTTATTTACTTCCAAGAACTACAGATAAAATTCGAGGTATTCGCTTGACGAGACCTGAATGCTTACGAAAATGCCATAAATGAGACCCCTAAGGAAGAATGGGCCCACTGCTTTTCCCAGTAGTTCTAGCGAATGGTTCTAGCATGTGTAGAGGTAGGGAAATAACTTCGATAAATAATAAAACTATTGAAAACTTTCTACATTAAGCCGTTCTTATTTTCTAAATATTTAAGTGTTACCTAGGTATTTATATTTGACCAGGCTTTGAACTTTGGTATAATTTTTGTGTTTATTAAATTGTTATTTTAATATTTAACATTTTTAGATGGCTGTAGCATATTTCTTGATTATAGGACGGTACGAAGTCCACCGGGTCATAGGTATGGCTTAAGGATATCTCGGATAGTTTTTGAGAAAATTTTTAAATTAAAAAATATTTATTTAAATAGAAGGTAACTATCAAGAGAACTATATACGGTAATATTAATTGAAATAATAATAAGCAGTTATAATATTTTTGAAGTTTTTATTTTATTATATCTACATATATAAAACACAGAATTTCTATTCTGCGTTAATTATTTGAAAACTATTCTATTTATAAAAAGTTGAACTAGAAATTTATTGTATAGGATATAAAAATTATTCAAGTTTCATTATAGTTATTGTAATTCAAATTTAGTTTAATAATGTTTAAATCTTTTTTCACATTATGGATTAAATTAATATTGAACAATTATTCACGTACATGCTTTATTATGAGCTAAATGATGGTATCTTAATATGGTAATTGAGTTAAGCGATTATTCTATCAATATTAAAATAGTATTTTTTCTTTATATTTCTTTGCTGTATAAATTTATATTTTTAGCGAATTAAACAAAGTTTAGCAATTTAAACTACTTAAAAGCTATTAATACAGAAGGAGATTATCTTTCGTAAGCGAGGGTGCGCGTGCGAGTGTCGCCGTAGCGATGACGGACAAGCGTTACACAGCTAAAGTCTATGCGGACTGACGAGTACGGCGCAATGCCCCAGTGTTGCCAACTTTATTTTTTAGAGGATCGTACTATACACTAAAAAAATGTAGTATTTTGTCTTGAAATTCAAGGAAATAATCGTACCCGATGAAATTTCAATAAAACTGCGTAAGTATATCAAATAAAAACGGAATTTAATTCTAATTTTCAATTAACATTAATCATCAATTAATATGTGGAATTAAGATATTCATTAATTACATATATTTTGAAAACATAAAAAAAATGAATTGCTTTAGTCACTATCTGATTTATTAGGCACAGCAGATGCGGGAAAAGCATTATATTTTTTGTACATACTTAAATTTAATTTGCTCAGCATATCGTCAGATGGCTTGAAGTTTATACACGATCCTTTTTCTTTAATATGTTTTGCAGCTAACAAATTCTTATTTAGTGTTTCTGGAATACATTTTAGTTTTACACATTCCTTATAGTTTTATTGGAGATTTATTTTTTCGTAAGACTTCATTTAAAAAATCGTATATTTTGTGTAAGATTTCGATAACTCGATCGTACATCGTACAAGAGTCAAAAATGTCGTATAAATACAATTTAAATCGCAGCGGGGCCAGCGGGGGCCAGCGGGGCTACAGCCCTACAGGTGCGCGGGCCGGACGACGCGAACAACAGACGCAGCGCGCATCCTCGCTATATACATATGTACAATTTAATAAGAAGTTTGTCCGTCGCAAGAATTAAAAATATTTTTATTTATTTTAAACAATTAATAAACAAATATGTATGTATAGAAATGGATATTTTAAATTTACAATACAACATAATCTAAGTTGCTCCGCTACACTTTGTTTGTATTCATATTAAAGTAAACAAATAAAACCTTTAAAAAGTATAATTTATTTATCACTTTTTCTTCACTTTGAAAATTTAAATATTTATTTTGAACATAGTCATAGTCATGACCTTAAATGTAGACGGCATTAACAGGCATCACTATATCATTTCAGTCATTACCAGAACTAGTACATAAATACAGTAATATGGTCTTCGGCAACGTGATAGTAAACGGTATTCTTTCAGATTTATTTATTTTTATTTATTTTAACCAGTGAAATAACAGATACAAAATATGTGATGGTTACCACTGTAGATACATAGGACTTTTGTAGAGTAATATAAATCCAAGATTACATAAATAGAAAATAATAAACCATTAAATA